AACTTTTGGGGCTCACACACAAAGTGGAGGAGCTAGAGGAGAGCAATGGGGCCTTGAGGAAATCTGAGGAGGAACTGCAGGAGCTCAGGGAGAAGATTGGCAAAGGGGAGTGTGGCAACTCTAACTTGATTGCTGAGTTGGAGAACTTGCGGAAGCGGGTGCTAGAGATGGAGGGAAAGGATGAGGAGATTACCAAGACTGAAAATCAGTGTAAGGAGCTAAGAAAGAGGCTACAAGAGGAAGATAGCAAAAGTAAAGACCTCAGGCTGGAAGTGGAGAAGCTCCAGAAAAGAATGATGGAGTTAGAGAAACTTGAGGGTACATTCAGCATCAGCAAGTCTGACTGTGCACAGTTACACACTGCTTTAGAGAGAGAGAAGGGCCTGACCAAAGAGCTCTCAGATGAAGTCGTAGCTCTCAGGATCCGCATGAAAGAGCTTGAGTCTTCAGAACTCAAATTAGAAAAGTCTGAGCTGAGCCTTAAGGATGACTTGAGTAAGCTCAAATCATTGACCGTTGCTTTGATGGAAGAACGAAAGACCCTGATGGAAAGAATGAAGTCAGATGAGAAGAAAAAGGAGGATTTGAGTACAATGGTCAAGGTTGAGCAGGGTAAGGTTATGGAGGTGACTGAGAAATTGATAGAAGAAAGCAAAAAGCTCTTGAAGTTGAAATCAGAGATGGAAACCAAAGTACAAACTCTAACCATAGAAAAGGGGGAGCTAAGCACTAAGCTCAATTATGAAACTGATAAATCTAAGGACCTTAATTCTAAAGTCAGCCAAATGAAAAAGAGGTTAGATGGGTTTGAGCAAGCAGAAAAGCTATCAGTGAAGAATTCAGTGAAATGTGAACTGGGAAGAATGCCTGACCACATAAGAAGAGAAGACAATAAAATTAAGGAACTGACCTTTGAAATTGAGCGTCTGAAAAATCGTCTCAAACAACTTGAAGTGGTAGAGGGAGATCTCATCAAGACAGAGGATCAGTATGACATGTTGGAGAAAAAGTTCATGACTGAACAAGACAAAGCCAACATTCTTTCGCAGCAGGTGGAGGAAATGAGGAATCAGATAGCACGGAACAAAGCAATTGAGAAAGGAGAGGAGGAAAGCCAGGAAGAAGACCTCCAACAACGGTGCAAGAGAGAGGAAGCCAAAACCAGGGAACTACAGGCTGATGTGGTAGCCCTCAAAGAGAAGATCCATGAACTGATGCACAAAGAAGACCAGCTTTCTCAGTTGCAGGTGGACTACTCTCTACTGCAGCAGAGGTTCTTGGAAGAGGAAGAGAAAGCAAAGAACATGGGCACTGAAGTTTTCCATCTCACCAAAGAGCTGGAGATAGCAAAGCGCCACAGTCGAGCACTAAGGCCCAGCTTGAATGGGAGGAGAATGGTGGACGTTGCTGTGACATCCACTGCAGTGCAGACAGAGGCATCGTCCACTGGGCCAGCAGAGGAGGATACCCCAGCTGTGTTTATCAGGAAGTCTGTTCAAGAAGAAAATCACATCATGAGCAACCTCAGACAGAGGTGCTTGAAGAAGCCAACAGAAAAGACTGGAGCTGTTGAGCGTTGTCCTTCATCTAGCAGCGACCTAGGCATGAAGAAATCCTGGATTCCCTGGATGAGGAAGAAGGACAACACTCCTCAAGAGACCAACTTGGAAAAGCCTCTGCACATTAATGGGGATCATTTGCCGTCTGAACTGTCCATGTCCCCAAAGCAAGGCCAGCCTTTACACATCCGAGTCACACCAGACCATCAAAACAACATGGCCACTCTTGAGATCAGTAGCCCTACTACTGAGGACGTTTTCTCTAGCTCAGCTCCCCTCAGCCCCAACCCATCTCAACCTAAATCCAGAATCACAATCATTCCCACATACTCTGCCCCAACCCCTAGGAGAAAGCCCATCACTGGACCTCAGGGCCCTGAAAGAGCCAAGTCTCCAGTCACCATCACAGCTATATCGAGAGCCAAGTCTCCAGAAAGCAGCCGAGTTTCCTCCAATGCTTCAGGAAGGCCTTTGTCCCCTGTCTCTATTATGACAGTCAGCACTGCTGTAGTGCCAGAAGCATCCGCCTCCCCGGAGCCCCAAGAGATGACCATGGGCCGAGCTGTGTTCAAGGTTACCCCGGAGAAGCAGATGGTGCCAGTGCCTATACGGAAGGGCCACAACAACACCAGCATCATAACCACCACTGAAGATAACAAGATCCATATTCATCTAGGCAACAGCATCACCCCAAAGATGGTAGTCAGGCCGGTGGCTGCTGTAACAGAGAGCAAGGAAATGACCTTATCAACTGGGACGGTTTTGCGCTCCCCTCGCCAGATCACCACAACTGCCACGAGGAGCACACAGAGCAAAGTGATGAGCAGTATCACCATTTCCCCTGTTACATCCACCACTTCTAGACCAACACAAAGCATGGTAAGTTTAACTTAAAGGTTCTGTTAATCCGAATTATGAAATAACACATTTTCCTGTTTTGTTTCTTTATTTTTAACTCCATCCCAATTAAAAAAAGAAGAAAAAGATGTGGAAAGAAATTCAGCAGCAATATTTCTGCAAACAGTTAATTGGACGTAATTTCTACAAAGTAGCTTTGGTAGAAAGAAGGTTGAATTAAAATGTAATTCTCATCATTCAAAAGTGAAATATTTACAAGATTTGAGGCTGACAATGGTTTCACACATATACATATATGGTACATATACATATATATTACACATGTGATATTTCACAAGGTAAAATCAGTTCAATAACAGCTTAATCTCACATTGTTAGAAATGGGTGTGGATGCAACTGTGTTGGTGTTTCAATGGCCCTTATAACTTTATCTTTGTGGATCAGATGGATAGCGTGACAGAAATGGCCATATGGGCAGGCCTCACAACAGCAGAGCTAATGATGTTGCATTTTGCCACCCTGCTGCAGTCATGCTGTAATTTATAGTTGTTACGCAGTATTTACATTCATAAACAGCCATGCAGGGCTCAGTGCCCTCTGGCTGACACAAAACAGCCTTGCACTAGTAACAGCACACTGAAACCTAGCCTGGACAAATGCTCACCCACTGGGATTGAAGTGAAAGAATGGATAAATATTTACATTTTTAATTCACACCGTTCCTGTAGTGCATATGATTGGTTACATTGTTTAGAAATTCTCCCATTTTTCTAGTAATGGGTTTTGCCCCTTTTCCATTATTTACTCTCTATGTTCCACTCAATTCTCCCCTGTCTTCATTCCTGTGCCTGAGAAACTGTGCTCTCTCTCCCTATTGTCAGACTGGGCATGATGCCCAGCCACCTCGCACAGGGCTGACCCGCATCCCAATGTCCAAGAGCCTGAAAACGGGGAAAGCTGTGCTGGGATCCCTGGGGATATCGGGTGGAGTGAAGATGGAGTCACGAGCTGAAACTCAGTCTATGAGGATAGAAGTTAAGAAATCCACTGTGAATAGCAATACTTTACAAAATGGAGGAAAAGCCTGATTGAAATAATAGTACCAAAAATACTTTAACATATCTGAATATGGTGCGTGACATAGATTAAGACAACACCCACAATTGGAAAAAGCTCTGATGTCTCTATACAACTCAGCTAGACATTAAAGGCACAGAAGGATTTATCTGTAACTAAGCAAGCCATTCATTTTTAATTTTGTAAAGTCTTTTGTACTTGTTTGTCTTATACCTATTTCTGTCATATAGATGGAATCATATTCTTTGTACTTACAGTGTGTATGGTGATGGGCATTTGGGTAAAATACGTATATCAGACTGCTGCTACTAACTGCTTCTTGCTTTGAGTGGTTGTCTCACATATATGAGTTTGTTGATATATTTTATATGGACACATTATAGGACAGAATACTTGTTTTCATGTAAATTATGTTTATTTTTTCTGCGAAGGATTTGTACTTACTATGTATTTCAAATAAAAGTGATTTCAAAGGGTAGTGTGACATGCTCATTTAGGCCTATGTAGGAAAATGAGAAACACAGATATGCAGCAAAGACAGAGGGACAACTGCGTATGTCTGGCAAACAGGCCAGAACTATTGCATGTGACTGTTTCATCTGTGTAGCTATCATAAGTCATGCTTTTGCAACATTACACTGTCAGTACTCTTTTAGAAATACACTCAGATGCTACACTTGAAAATGCTGCCATCGGCCAAGGGAATTTAAATGTGAAAATAGATAAATAACTGTAACAGACTACATTAAAACCATCTTATCATTACATTATTGATAAATATGCCATTAAACAACTGTATTTAAAGACAACTGACTTTAAAGCATTGAAAGGTTTTGCTTTGAAAACAAGCCATTTTAACTTGTCTTTAATTGATTATTCAACAAAGTTAGGGGAGCATATTGCTGCCACCATGGCAAAATTCTTTTTGTTAAGATTCTCATTATAATAAGAAACAATTATTACTAGACACAACATATGTTATATAATACAACTTTGTTGCTATTTCACATAATTATGTCTTAAACTTTTCTTATAATGCAAAGGAGATCTTATTAAAACAAGACTTTTTGTCATGGTGGCAGCAATACATTGCCATACAAAGCTTTGATAAGTTCCATTCAGGCTGAATTTCTTATCATTGGTATCTTAAATGTTTTTCAATTTAAATTTTGTGCCAACATTTACTGAACCATTGAATAATGAACACTTAAATTGTTGGATTAAATGTAACACTTCAAAGAAGACTTATTATGTTCAAATTTTAAATTAGCACAATTTGGAATCACCTTAGAAAATTCCAAGATGAGGATTCAACCCACATAAAGGTAGATAGATAGTTCTCAGAGTAAATTTTGAATTAAATTTCTCAACTGTCATAACCACAGATCTTCACATTTAACATCAGATGTTTGTGCATAACAGCCAGCGTGAGAAAGGGGCGTATTTATTTTCTAGGATGACGTAAGTGCTTCGTTTCAACATCCTATTGGCTCAGAAGCTTCCGGCTTCTTCCTCGGGATGAGATTAACTAGACAGATAAAGCCAATACTACAACAAGTAGATGTTTGAATTAGACAGGGGGAAAGTTTCGCCTTCTAGACAGTTTTATCCGTTACCTTAACGTTTGTCTCTTGTTTACCGTGTGCTATTACCGAGGAACTCTCGGCTGTCAATTGAAGTGGATTATTTTGCTCGGAGCGGATTGCAGCCATGATGGCGTCAAGCTACAACGCTAAGGAAGAAGACGGACACCACTCGGGCGCTTCGAGTCACGGCGGAGCAGGGGCTGCGAAAAGTAAAAAGCCGGACAACACGGCGTTCAAACAGCAGAGATTACCAGCCTGGCAGCCCATCCTGACAGCAGGCACCGTACTGCCAGCCTTCTTCGTTATCGGTCTCATCTTCATCCCCATCGGCATCGGCCTGTATGTCACATCAAACAACATCAAAGAGTTCGAGGTACAGAACAATGTCTACCGGTCTTTCAACCGGCGCATCTCTTAATTCTCTAACTGTAACTCCACCACTAACAAGGTTCCTCTACGGTTTTCCACAGAGTGCATTTCACGTTGTTATTATTAGCTAACTGCAGCAAGCCATGTACTGTAAACTTGTTGAAATTAGTGCTGCTTTTTGGATTTTGCCAAATTGAGCAAGCAAGAACACAATTAAGAAGTGACACCTTAGTAGCTTGGTTCCATATTGAAAATACCTTATTCAGGCAGTTTGTTAGCTAACTTTAGCTCAAACTAATACAGTATTAATTAAAGAATGCTGTAAATAATAATGTTTACAGTGTCCAGTTTTTGTTAAAACTTTTAAAAAGGTGTTCACACAACTTTATGTAAATTTTGAAAGCAGTTTCTGGTGTTGTTAACTGTATTTATTTGTATAACTGAGAAGTATTTTGTCCACTGATTTATATTATCTGTAGACATGAGATATGACAAAACGTTAGAAACTCTCTTAGTATAGCACCCAGTTTTTATTTGAGGGTATACAAAATGTTAGAAACACATTTTTAATCCAACACCCCACTTGTATCAAGAGGGTAGACTAAATATTGGATGAAGAGATCAGTATAACAGAGCAATTCAGTAGCACTGCAAACAACAGCCTTCAGTGTAAACTTAAAGTTGATCAGTACTTCTCAAAAACCTGAGTATAATGTAACCTTCATCATGAAAATAGGATGTGCTGCATGGAAGTTGTATTGTACAGAATTAGTTTTATGTACTTGTTCTGCCTACTAAGTCCATATGTATGTGGAGCAGTATGAAACAATATGTATTTAAATGTTAAATGTAATTAATATATTCAATTCTGTAACTAATTGACTCATTTTCAGATTGATTACACTGGTGTGGACATAAACAGTCCATGCTACAGCTGTGCCAAGAACTTCAGCTGGAACAACACAGCACCATGTCTCTGCTCTGTAGAATTCACATTGGAGCAGCCATTTGAGGTGAGCTGAGGACCTGCACCAGCTTACAGTATGCGGATCCCATGAATAATACATGCCTTCACCTCCAATACTGATAGTGTTGCTTGTGCAATAAAAGGGGAAAATGCACTCCGACAGTGAATGTCCATTAAGCTCTATTTTGAGTCCAAAAAAAGGCACACTAGAGGTTTGATTGGAGCCTTCATTGTCATTGATTATTCTAGACTTAAAATATGCAGTCCAGTAACTTTCATAGGCTCTTATTGATTGCTTATAAAAAGCTCACAGCCAGTTGCATTTCAGTCTCAACAGATTTCGCATAACACACACCAGTATCATTTGCTACAGCCTAGATTTGGGTTACAAGTTATTACAGTTACAGTTTTTTAGGTGCAACAAACATAAAACTGGGGTAAAACAACATCTATCTGATCTAAAAACATAGGGACCAATATTTGTTACATATGCAGTCTATAACACAATCTCTCCTCCCCTGCAGAGCAATGTCTTTATGTACTACGGCTTATCCAACTTCTATCAGAACCACAGACGCTATGTGAAGTCCAGGGATGACAGCCAGTTGAATGGTGACCGGTCTGCTTTGACGGTACAATCTTGAAAATGTTGTTTTTTCATCATGCAGATATTTCAGTAAAAGCCTCTTGCATTATTGTAACTTTCATTGTTGTTTATAGACTCCCAGCAAGGAATGTGAGCCATACCGTATGAGTGATGGACATCCCATTGCTCCATGTGGGGCCATAGCTAACAGCCTTTTCAATGGTAAGTGAGAAATGGTGAACAACTTCACATTTTTCTCCCCAGCAGTGGAAGGATTATTCCTTCTCATGTGTTCAATACAAGTCTTATCTGACCTTTTAAACTCCTACTAAAAGCTCTTTATATAACAAAGCTTTACCACGCTTGCAATGCACCAATATTGAATCTAATGCTTCTTTGTTTCAGACACTCTGGAGCTGTATCATATTGATATCAATGGCACCAGAAATACAATTCCTCTGGTGAAGAAGGGCATTGCGTGGTGGACAGACAAGCATGTGAAATTCAGGAATCCTGGTGCAAACAACAACCTTTCTGTAGCTTTCCAAGGTGATTTTAGCAAACTGTGCACAAACACTTCAAAACACTTAAAACACCTTAACTGCAGTGACTAGCTTGGTTTTCTCTTACTCTTTTTCAGGCACATCTAAGCCAGTGAACTGGAGGAGGCCAGTGTATGAGCTGGACCCATCAGATCCTGACAACAACGGCTTCATCAATGAGGACTTCATTGTGTGGATGCGCACTGCTGCCTTGCCCACCTTTCGCAAGCTCTACCGCATCATCCAGAAGAAGTCTAACACGACCCCCACTTTACCCAGTGGCAGATACGTCTTGAACATTGCTTACAGTATCCTTTGAATTAAAGCCTGGAATTCTACTGCACAGTTAAAACTAGAGGTAGTCTTCAGCTGTAGGGTTGGCTAGTATGAATTATATTCACTCATGTTAAGTTGCACAGGCTGTGATTTATTACCTAGAGACACAATAATCTTATGTCATTATAATTCACATAAATTTGCCTTAAAGTCACAAATCCTGTTGGCAGAGTAACACATCTGAACTTAGTGAGCACCAAAACACCTCAACAACATCAAGTAAATATTTATTTAGCTTTGTTGGTTTGCCAACAAATATTGTACTGTGAGCAAACACCACTATACTCACTGTGGCTCAAGTTCTGTTTGTTTAATGTCCACTTCAGGGGCTTTTTCAAACAGCTGATTTACTGAGTTATCTTAAAAACTAGGCTGAGTAAAACCCAGAAACATTTCATTTTGTATCTCAACATGTTCCAGAGTAGAGAGGGTTCTGGATTTACTTAGCAAGGGTATTCAGGCATCTCAGTAAACCAGCTGCTTTGATCAGACCCCAGATGGAGAAACTTGTAATTCACAAGGTATGCAGGTACATAATGTTTACAACAACACAGGTATACCAAAACAAATCAGAGAACTAAACTGAAAATGTACATCCCACAAAATTAGTTATTCAAGTTCATGCTTTGCACATATGAAGAATTTGATGTCATGTAATGCCTTACAGTGGAGCACAGTTTATAGCTTTGAACATTATTTCATTTTCTGTGAATTTGTATACAATGCCTATATTGATGAACAGACACAAATATACTTATTAATATTCTGATAATGATTTTAACGACATCACCCAGCCCTAACAAATCACTTTGTGCAAAGAAGCTAAGTTTGATTGTATTTGTAGCATTCTGCCAGTGAACATGAGCTTGCTGTGTGCAGTTTACTGACAGCACATGTGCAGCTTCTGGGTATTTAGGTTTTGTCGTCAAACTTTTACTTCTGCTACTGAAAAAAGGCTAGTGAGCAATAGTTTAAGAAGAACTTTTAGATAAACTGGTTGATAATGTCTATAAATGTTTTTTTCAGTACATTAATCGTAAAATAATAGTTTAAGTGTAGATTATTTATAAATCCTGTTATAAAATGTACTTTTCTCTCAGTCTAGAAGCTCCAATTTTTTCCTTTAACCACTTCAAATCAGATTACCCTGTGCTCAGCTTTGATGGTCGCAAGCGAATGATCCTGAGCACCATTTCCTGGATGGGAGGAAAGAACCCTTTCCTGGGCATCGCCTACATCACTGTGGGCTCCATCTGCTTCTTCCTGGGTGTTGTTCTGCTCATCATCCACCATAAATATGACACTCGCAACAACAGTGCAGATATTCCAAACTAATCAGTTCTTGTATCACATTTTCCCGTCTCTGCATGCATGGATGACCCTACAGGGTCCGTTCGGGACTGCTTGTTGACTTTAGTGTGAATTCACTGGTCTCTGTAATTGTCTGTGTGTTTGTGGAAGGACAGCAGCGTCTGTAACTCTCTCATAAAAAGCTGTATTTATGTTTAGGACATTTTAAGGTAAAAAGAAAGATGCTAGAGTCTGTATCTCTGTGCATAAAGCTTCAAGTCGGCTGCTGAGATTGTCATTGCCTGTCTTCATTTTTTTTTTAAATCTTCTATTTATCAATACATAATCAAACTGTATGTGTTTCAGTTTAGCAGTGCTTTGCAAATGGCTTAATTATTGAAGGATGTATGTATTTTTAAAGTTTTTGTCCGTACTATGTACTGTAATATGTCCTGCTGATGAATGTATCATTATACTTCACTGACATACCTCTGTGGTTTTTGAGATGACCTTGAATATAGGATGGGATAATTGTTGCTCGCGTGCTGGTAATTATGATAAGCATTGATGTTTAACAAGAAGTATTTTACCCTTGGAGAATCATAGAGCCTTCATGACAAATAGTACCAAAAGTGTGTTTATCTACCCTCCGCTGTGACTGGTTGTATGAAGAGACTGAGGCAGTCATAAGGTATTGTTTTTAAATTATTGAAAACACTGTTACGATCCAAAAGTTTTTAATGATGGAAACATGCTCCTATACCACTCTATCCAGTGTTCTTATTTCTGAGACTCTGGGAAGTCGCTCTGGCTGATTAGAGCATAAAAATATTTAAGTTTTTACAGTTTGGCCTTAGTTAAATTATCTTGCGTTCTTTTATGTTAACCAAATGATACGCACTTTAAAAGTGTCCCATTTGTTAGATTTTCTCTCGTTTCACCTCGTCTTCAGTCATAATATTACGTTCTTGATTAGTTATTAATTGGTAAAATTTAAATTTATGGGTTTTTATAAGGTTTGTAGGGTCCAATTAAACAACTTGGTCAATGTATTGGTCTCATTGGTGATTTTCTTGCACATCACTAAATATAATTTTTTCACATTAAATAACAGTGATAACGATCTCAGGAAACCGGATGTCACAGTTTTTGTAAAATAAGCCTTTACAAACAAAAGATCAGAGACGAGCAGTGAGTTGACCTCCGTTTGATTTAGTAGTTAATCGATTCATACAAATGCAATACAGTGGGTTGACCAGCAGATGTCACCATTCTGACCGCATAACACAATTTTTTTAGCACACTTTGCTTCAAAGTGGTTCATTGTTGCTGATAATGTAATTCCCATCATCACTAGTGGAGGTCAACTTGCTGAACTGTCATAGAGACTTTGCTAACTTTGTCTCACAAAATGACACTAGCTTGCACCTAGCCGAATCGTTGAATCGTTAGCAGGTAGTTACCTGCTCAACCGTTAGCATACCAAAATCACCGTCACAAAGTAAAACTTTTTTTTTGACTGCTGTCATTCAAAAAATCACTAGAGACATTATTGGCCTGGTGTTACCTGTGTTCTCTTGGCTGTCATTGGCCTCTGTCTGTCCCTCTCGAGAGGCTGCTGATGGGCTGTAGTCAGTGCCAGCGCTGGCCGGTGTGGGTGGGGGAGCCCCAGTCGCACCGCTGTTGACCCCACATACTCCGCTCTCTCGTCCACCGTTTATACCCCAAAACAGAGGCGACTGCCCACCGTGTATCTTCAATACAATTTCTGTAGTGTCTTTAAGTTTTTCCTGTGGTCCTCCTCCTGTTTTAGTATTTCTTCTTTTAAACATTTCTTTATTTGCTTCTTGTACCATATTCTTTATATCTTTTTTGAACATATCTGATGTTTCTGTCAACACTGTTTACTGTCGCTGCAATTTTTTTCTCGTCAGAGTTTTTCTTCTTAATGTTACACTCTTCGCTGAATTTCCATTGTAACACGTCCCTGTACCTGTTGTATTCTTCCAGTAGACAAACATTTTCTGCTGAGGGTACACGGAGCTGAGCGGTTGAATCGTGACTTGGGCGGCCATTTTTTTGTTTGAAAAAAATAAAGTTACCCAGAATTCATTGCATTTATTTGTAATGTTTAAGCCATAGCATTGTCAGTCTGTCTTTGTGAAACTGGCCCCTGGTGTATTTGGTGCCATTTCACTTTCTCTTACTGTTTCAAGTGTTACTCATCACAGTTATTCACTGTTTCCCATGGTTAAATTATAACCGATTAAACCATGAAATCCTCTGCTAAGTATTTGTATCACTTGAGTGTTCAGCAGCTTCCCACGCAGACCATCACCAGCACTGCTGACAGAGAAGTTGATAATACTGAAGGAAAAGCTCCTTCAAGTGGAGTTAATCTTGAGAACAATCCCACCAACATCAAGTATGTGAGATTCTTCAGATTTGTGATATATCTTATCATGTGCATGTTTGACTAAAGGTTTGAAAACTCTGTTTTAAACAGCCAAATATGTTGGTGTTTAAAGTGAGACATTAAATTATCTAGCACTAATAATGATAATGTTTAAGCTTTTCCTTTATTACCAGGTTCTGGAGACACAATCTAATTTATTATCGCATTCTCTTGTAGCCTGACAGATAACAATGTTTCAGTGACCTTCGACTGTAGCTGGCGCTGGAGTTATACTAATCATGCTTGCAAAAGGCTAATTAAAAATCCATTGCTAAATCAATGTTCCAATGTGGTGGGCTATGCTGATCCTTGCATAGAGCTAGAAATTACTGTAGCCATAGTTGAAAAGTGGTCTACCCTTGCTTCTAAATCACAGAGTAAGTACTGCTTCATTGCATGGTGTATTGTACGCCTTCACTTAATTGCTTATGGTTAACCAGAGATTAAGCTCTTTGCCAGCAAACTGTAACTGAAGTGGCATACTGGCAGGATTGATGTTAAAACAAACATACTAACTATGTCTTATATTTATTCAAAATATAAAATACCTATCTTGTATTACTCCACAAAATTAGAATACTATAGAAACAGAAACACACACAGAACCAAACAAAGCTAAAGTCCATCACACACCATGTATATATCTGTATTTGCTTCTTAAACAAGAGGCTAACAAATTCCCCATCCATCTTAAGGGCGGGTTAAAGGCCGCTCTGCTCTACAGAGCCACAATGACTCTCACTGTGTTTGGTATGTCAGCGCTTCTCTGAGATTGGCTGAGTCAGACTCACTTCAGATGTCTCAGTCTGGTTTTTGGGTAAAACACATTTTGCACCATTGACTTGCCCCCAGTGTTATGGGGGCAAGTCAGTGGGGGCACTGAAAATGGCTTTGAAAGTAAAATGACTGTAATTTGATGATGAATCATAAAGGGTTGTTTGAAGCCAAGCTCACCTCATTGCTCTATCTCAGTCACATCTGTAATACTGTGTGATGTCTTCACAGGGAGTGGATACATCGTGTCCATGAGATGTTTACTGCTGCAGTTCCCAAGAAGGCTCAGTCCAGTCTGACTTTATTATCTGATGAAACAAGTATGCTGATGCTGTGTGTAGTTCACCAACTATCTGCCGGACAGATTTGTATTCTGGGAAATTATTACTCCTACCAATAATATCAGTTCATTTTGTGTTTGAAATCAATGGCTATTGATTGTATAAATCCTGATTCCTACTGTAGATGTTTGGTAAATTTTACTACAAGCTTTCATATTGAGTTTATATATTTTTGGAAAAAGGTCAAGACCTCTCTTATTCTTTGCCCAGAATTTGAGTCCAGTACGAGACTGCAGTTTTTCTCTTAACTGATTTTTTCAACTGTATTTTCATCAGGTTATATTAGATTTCTCTCATCAATCCTAACATGTAGTGTAGTACTTTGATTTGAACACTAGAGGGCAACAAAAACCAAGCGGTCAGTAGCTCAGACTGTTACAGTGTGTAGCAGGATGGGCTGTTGCTGAAATACATCTCCAGTCCCAACAAAAGTTCATTTACCCATATTAGCTATAAATACACTTAATAATAATAATAAATAAATAAATGGGCTCATGTTTTTGTTTCTTTATGTATCTTGAGCACATCAAGAGAGAATAGCCGTGATATAACACCAAGAGATTTGTGGTTACAAAACCAAATAATCAACTTTTATTTCAGTTGGAATTTGAGATAAGAAATGAGTTAAAGCTGCCTGTTGCGCATATGAAACGCTTCCCCCCTCTAACTGTTGTCTGGCAAAGTGTGCCCCTGCTGTGAAGTCACATCGGCAGTGGAAACTCATTAAATCGACAGACCAAAGGAATGCAAGTGAAAAAAAAAGTAATTTCCAAACAGTGGATCGGTCTTTGCGGGGGACATACATCAACTGACAGGCAGAGGTTTCGTAAGAAACCCATACGATGGTAAATTGAGAGTTGGGAACTGCCCCTCTATTAAGTAGCCGATGGTGGAAAGATTCTTCCCACTTGGAAAGAGGCTTTTCCTCCTTGGACATCTGCTGGCGGAGCTTCCAGTAGCCAGAGAGAGGAGAGAGGGGTCCAGCCGCAGCTCCTGACACTTCTCTCTTACTCTGCAGAGGAGGAGGCTTCAAGCAGGCTGCTCTGAACATTGGTCGCTTCATTTTTTAGGGGGTTGAATAGGTGAGTAGACTGACTTTTATTTATTGCAAATGACTTATTTTAACATTTTTAAGAATAGAAATAACACATTTTGAATTTTACAATATTTGGGAAGGTTTTGACATTTTTGACGCAGTTTTTTTTCTGTATTATCCGAGTTTTTCACATGCATGATTTAAGATGATCGCTTTGGAAATAAACTAGGTTAGATCACTTTAAATAACATTTTTAACAAACTTTTTAGGATACGACGCCCAGTCACTTTACTGAACTGAACTGAATGAAATTTCATAGACAAGCCATTGGTTTAAAAATACAATCTGAAAATGAAGCCATTGCAGTCATAAAGTCATTATAGGTTATGGCCATGTAGTGTTTCAGTAGCAGTTTATGTGTGATTCAGTCTTTTTTTGATAAGATCAGATCCTTGTGTCCAAGGGGCCAGGAGAGTCATCTCAGCCCCTGAATAGCTGCAGTTTTCTGGCTTGTGCACCAGGAGGGGCGCACAGCCTGTGGTAAAGACTTACAGAAGCTGAGTTCAGACTATGCTGTGGGTTTGGGGTTCAGGCAACTTATCCTTTGGTAAAAGGAGTAACCCCCTCACACGAAGATGAAGTATTCTATTTCTGTAACTGTGTTTGACAAAGTCCTAAAGGAATTTATCTTGTTGAAGAGAAGGAGAGGAGTTAGGGAAGCAATTTTAGGATTTAAGGTACAAAATGTGCAATTTTTCTTTCCCCCCCCTTTTTTTTCTTTTTCTTTTCCTTTTTTTCTTTCTTTTTTTTTTCTTTTTTACAAAAGATGCTGCTATGAAGATGTCTCATTATACATTCAAATACTTAAAAAATATTACCATTATGCAAACTATGATACCACAGTTTTTGGTAACTGTATATGGTCATCCAGACTCCATCCCTGGGCTAAAGAGAACATGAGCTATAGATAAGACTATTCTGTTGTAGTGAGCTGCAAAGTGAACCACCAAAATGATCAAGCTTGCTTGCGAAGCCCCGGATTTCCACATGTTATATAAAAGTCAAACCAGATGAGCATGTGTTAAAATGTTTTTTCAGTCACTCATTACTGAATACCTACAGCAGTTAGTCTATACCTCAGGGTGTGGGCGTCAGCTGGAGGCAGCAAGGTGTGGCACTTGTTGTGTAAGCGAGTCTAGATGGAGCATGTAGTTTTTGTTATCATGACGGAAAGCAGTGTAATAATAATAAGAGCTATCAATCTGGATTCCATATAAAAAAATTAAAAAAACATAATTCAGGATGGGATTCGGCTCGACTGTGCATGTTGCATATTAACACTATGCACTCTTAGTTAAAGGCAAACTGGCCATTCTTCAGCTCATACTCTGTCTAAATCTGAGTATCAGGGCGCAGCAGTAAATCAGACTTAAATATGTTCCCT